TTTGGTTAAGTTTCGGGCCTTTCGTAATCCGAAACGTGACCTAGGGTTCTGCAGGCGGTTTGAATGCCATACTTCTACCGCCACGTGGACGGTTTTTGAGGTTGCCCATCATTCGTCGATTGAAATTTAGGCGGTGGCCGGCCGCGCGGTGGGAAGCCTCTAGCGTGAGAAATAGGGTTTGCTTGCGAGCGCTGAGCTGTGTGAAAGGCTGCATTCTCTGTGCGCTGTGTACATTATACATGATAATTAGGTACATGGTAGAAAGCTTGGCTCGGATTGCAGCCCATTGCGTGAGCGAGCTGGCGCGAGTGCTCGCTGATTACAACCCAGCTGGAAACGTTCAAAAAAGTCTTAAATTGTGGCAGTGGTTCAAAGACAGAGTCCTTCAGGTTCCGCAGCTCAGCCCTTGAATCACTGGCAAAGTATTAGTACAGGGTGTTGGTAGCAATTTAGCACAAGCATTTTTTGCCAGTGGCATATCCTGTGTGTGCAGTCCTTTGGTATGAGCGGGCAGCTCGTTAGGGGATCTTGGAGAGCAGATGGAAGCCTGCTTCCATTCAAGCAACATTGTACGTTTGCTTCTTGTGCTTCTGGCTGCAACAAGCTCAATTACACAGGCCGAGCTCCTTGATGATCAATCTGAACAACTCAACGCACAGTCTTCTGATGCAAACCACCACTTTGAGATTCCAGCTGCGTCTTACACTGCACGGGGCGTCATCTCTGAGCAATCGCACGCCAGCCGGACTCACAAGATTAGTGGTGAGGAAGAAAGGCAGGAGGTAGTGGTGGAGGTAAAGGAGCTCACAAGTGGGGTGTGTTGCACTGCAAGAGCCGATGGATCACCAAGTGGTGGAGCTGATGCCGCTGACAGAGTCCCACAACAGGCAGAGCCTTGTGAGGCTGGGGTGTATATGCCTAGCGAAGATTTGCACTCTAGTCAGAGCACTCAAAGTGGCACCACTTCGGACTCCCTGCCCTTACAGGTTGAGGAGCCCTTTGGGGCTGCCCTCACGCAGAAGCAAGAAGCGGCGGAGCCTACATTCAAGCTGGAGAACAAGGGTGATGCAAAAGCTGATGTTCTCTTGTTAGATGGAAACTCAGCTGACCAATCTCGTGAGGATGATCAGACACTTTGGAAGGCGTCAAGCTGGCACTTTGTTAAGGGAAGGGACACAGAGGTAGTTGAGAAGGATGTAGAAGGAAAGTCTAATCACCATGAATCCAACTGGCAGTTGGTGCCGGATAGAATCCCCAGAAGCAGCAACAAGACACCTGCAAGTGACACTGCATACACTATTGCGCTTGGCAAGTCTAGCGAACTCCTGCCGGATGTCATCTTGTCCTCAAGGCAGACAAGGGGTCTACTGGCCACAGAGAAGACGGTGGCAAGCTACAGCGAATTGACAAATGGGGTGAATACCAATGGGTACGCTACTTTGAGATTGATAGCCTCGTTTGCAATCACAGGGATGGTCAGTATCAGCAGGAATCTGACCATCAAAAGCGACACCTCTCTTTGCGGTGGGCGTTGCACGATATCTGGAAGCGTAAGTTGCACTCTTACACTTACCTTAATGCATCCCACGACAGAGCCATTGCTTAACCCGCTGAACCTGACAGTTGCGGTGCTGGCAATAACACCGACAAAGTGTACTTACCTCTCAGTAGAGGTCTTTTTGGAGCATTTGACCTAGCAGTGTCATTTAAGCAGCATTATCAGTCGGTGCACTTGTTGTTCTCCATGAGTCTACTCTGCGTGTCAGAGTGGCTGACACCAATCTCAAGAAGGCACAGGATCAATCTACTGTCTTATAATCCACTAGTTGACTATCTCGTTCTCTTGCTTCTGCTGCGGACATCGGTTGACACCGCACGGCCCTGGAAAGCTCAGGCCTGTAGCTTCGCAATCCTTTTTGCAGAAAAGCTACCAAATCTTCCAGCTCTCTGGTTCGATTACTGTTACCTTCCAAGACCTGATTCTCTCCTCTGGGTACGGAGTGGGGAACAGCGATGCAGGAGCCATCCTTACTTATGGAGGTGAGTCCGTTCATATTGCCCTACAAGCGATTGTGGAGAAAGCACGTGGCACCTCCGCTCAGGTTCCTTCTTTTATCAACTGCCAAAGAGTCTCAGGATGAGGTCTCTACGATCCTGAGGGTGCGGTGCAGAAGACAAGTACTCGCTTCAAAGGAAAAAGCTGCAAGCAAGCTCCAGAGCATCTGAAAGCAGGGAGGGCCGATTTGCAGCAGCAGTGACTCAAAAAATGTAGGCATGTTGTCCACGCTGGCAGTGTCTTCAACCGAAAGATTCCATACACGAATATGCACTGCCGACCAGGGCAGTCCCCTAGCTGGACGGGATTGTGGATAAGGATAAAGTTTAATACCTATCAGAGCTATAAGACACTCCCGGCGAACGGGTGGGGTTGGTATGGTGGTTAGGGTGGGTTTGGGTGCGGAGAGTCATGTCTGTAGTTTAGGGTTTTAACTTACGTTGGTGCCCCGGGTACTTCCTTATAGGTATTAGATCCTTATAGGTATTAAGCTTGATGAGTATGGATGGATTGTGGACGAGACATGCGTCCGTTTCGACGTGTCATTATGCACCTTCTACTCAAGGCAACAAGCTCCCGTCTGCATGCCACGAGTAGGACCGAATCTGACACATTGGCCGACATCAAAAGCCGCTCAACCACAGTCCCATCGATCAAACTCTAAAAAAAACTCTTTTCGGGCTCCTTCTGGGAAAAGACAGGACGGTTTCCGTTTTCTGATTCGTTCGCATCCGTCGATGCTTCTTGCAGCTGCCTCCGCCTCCTTCACCAACGTAAACTTCACCGGAAACGCTGGGCAGGTGAGCCCTTCTTCTCTGTGCATTTTCTTTGCGCATCAAAGCAACGCCGTAGTAGGCTACTCTGGAGCAGCACTGAGTCGGCGGGGATATGAAGACGGGATCCAAATCGGGTTGACGGGCCTATGGTAGCTCAAGGGGTGGAAGTGAGGAGTGTAGATCAAAGGAGGGATGTCGCTCAGAAAGATGAGGTAAGACTGGTGCGCCCTATATGATTTCGAGTTCCAGACGGGCAATGTTCGTTCCGATTTCGGACGGGTAAAACCAGGGTTTCACTGTGAAGCTGCTGTCTGTTCGACAGCTTTTTCGTCGCAAATCGAAACTCGGCATGATGACGTGGTCTCTTTTCAATCTGGCAATAAAATGGTCTTGGATCGACTGCAGCTTCACTGAGTGAAACCCTGGGTTTACCCGTTCGAAAATTTGGATTGAACATTGCCCGTCTGGAATCAAATTCATCCGAAATAGGACGCACCAGTCTCGTAAGACAAGGGTTCGAGAAGACGTGAGCTTTTGAGCGGCTCATCTGGTCGCCTAAGTTCTTGCTGTTAGTGGCCTAGGGTCTCAATCGTTCTGCGAGAACGAGAGACGTGACTCGAGACGTTTGTCAGAAATATTGACGTTGAGTCATGATGCATGGTGACTGATGAAGAGAACACCGCACTGCCTTGATATCCGCAATCAGGATACCGGCGGACCCAACCCTTCACCAATACGACACGACCTGAGCTCGCACGATAGAGCTCGTCTCGCCAGAAAGCTCCTCGATTGGATTCACTAAAGAAGCTATGCAAATAGTCTGCAAACGAGTCTGTGTTTGCAATACTTCCTGGAATACACTTAAGCTGGTTGTTGCAGTGGTAGGACGGAAGGCAAAGATCAGCCACAAACTTTTTTGTATTCACAAGACAACTGCTCTTTGACGTATGCTGCGAACTAACCATTGACAACACGACCCCACTCCTTAGGCCGGGGCTTTTTATCTTGTTGATAAATCAATTCTTTTCGTCGGTGCATGCGCTCTAATCCGAGTCCAATCCTTGCAGAGAACAGCAGGGGCCGTGAACCTAGGTGGCTCGGGTTATCTTGGTTTTTTCTACTGCTCGTTTGAGGGCAATACGTGTTCGGTGAGTCTTCTACTTTTATTGGTTTTACTTCATTCGTAAGCTTTCGTAAGAGAAGCTCTCGTTCAAACAGAGAAGACCTGAGCACCTCATCAAGATGGTTAACCAGACTAGTATTTGCTTTATTATCCCCTCCTTATCCCTGAACGCTGCTCTCAACTTAGCGGGAATTCCTGAGAGGGTCTTTTTGTCACGCGAAGTGTCGCCCCTTAGAAGCCCCGTCTTTGTTAGCGGCCGAAGGCATCTGAAAGAAAGATGACGAGAGAAAGCCGTTGTCGCAGCAGCGACATTCGCCTCGTTTCACTCATTGTCTAAGACCTGTCAATCCGATTCTCGGTTAACCGCTCACCTTCCTTCGGCTGCTCCCCGGAATCCCGGGGATACTCACGTCGGAAATGCAACCTACGCGATCACTCACTCTAGTTTGTCCATGTTTAGTGCGCAGGCCTCTCGTATCCGATCTTCATTAGTTCATTCTCGTCTCGAGTCCCTTCTGAATCTCGCTTCCGTTGCGACTGATTCATTCCGTTCCAATCAATCCGTTCCGTTGCGACTGATTTGTTCCGCTGTCCAGAGCGCCATTCTCAACTCGCTGTGCACGGGAGCTGCCCTGAGCATCACTGGTGGCGGCGGGAAAGCTCTCTTTTGGCGGTGCACGTTTTCCAACAACATCGGCGGAATTGCCAGCCTGGTAAGATACTTTCAAGACCGTCAAAAGTCCGGATATTTCAAAGACTCGACACCTCCAAACCCTAGGTTGCTAGCCCGTCCATCTTGTGCCTGCAAACGCTTTGCCGCTTCTCCGACTCCTCTTCTCGGAACATAATGAGGTGCGTCTTTCCCTGCAGAGCGAATGACCGCTACTGTGCAATGGATGCCCGTTGGCATTGACCATACCCTTCTCATTTGTATCAGAGCGTTAACGACCTAATACTTTCCTCGTCTGAAAGGACCATCGTTCCGTCCCTTTCAGAGCAGCGGAACTGCGGAAGACCTGGCGATCGACACGAGTAGCTCAAATCCAACCATCTACATCTGCCCCTCTACGACCTCAGTGGTAAGCCTTAGCCAGATTCAATGGCTTGGATATCTGGTAAGAATGCAAGATCGTATGGTCCAGAATCGTGTGGTTCTTATGAATGGATTTGAGCAGAATCAAACCATATTCTCATCATCTCACTGCTCAGAAGCAATCAGGTCCTGTGCTACATGCACATATGAGGTGTCTACGTGATGCTGGAGCACGGAAATTGTCTATGTTTGGAAATTTCTTTCATACGCAAGTGACCATTGTTCTTGCAGATCATCGGCAACAATGCGGGGAACGTCGTCTATCAGCGTGAGTCAAAGAAACCCCTCTTATTCGCAGCTTTACCAACAAGTGCGAAGTCCAAGAACGATCTACGGAGGCAGAACCTCTGCTAGTGACTCGACCCAGAGTCACTGAAGCGATCCATGCTCTGCTGACTTCTGAAAGTATAGCCCGCAGCGTATCAATCCGTACGTTCTGAATCTTCAGCTATTTCAGCCAAGTTGATGCTACTCTCTGGTTGATACAGCGTAGGCAGCCTGTTGGAACACATTTGTTTTTAACATCAACTGTCAGAAGGTGGGAACATTCGGACTTGGGGCCCGATCATCTTGGAACCAAACAATTGGAGAAGAACCAGGAGGATTTCGTTACCTCACAGCTTTCTGTGCAATTTGGCGTGTCTTCTTCGCTTTATCCGTGCCAAAAAAGGATGGCTGCCAAGCGGAGAGGGCGCGTCCAACACGCATGTTTAGGGCACGCCAGGATGAGATTCTGCTTGTCCCGAAGAGTCTGAGATTCTGACTGCGAGCGCAGACTTGATCTGGCTCCTATCCTGGTCTGAAGAACATCAAAGCCGCCTCTGCTGCTCCGTTCTCCTCCTGAATAAAGCGTTTAAGTCATCACCTCACCGCATCTCTCAAACTTGAAGCGAAGTTCGAGTAGCGGGCAACTAAAGAGCGTCGCACCGACATACCAGACGATTCTGTCATCTCTTGATAGCCCCTAAGCTTCTGAATTCCGGTGCGTGGCCAATGAACATAGCCTCTCGCGCCTCGATGTTAACCGAACTCTGTTGTTGGTGCAGCGGCAACCTCGTGTCCCCTCCCCCCCCCGCCTC